ATGTGGCCAGGCATGAAAGTGGACTGCATAGAATATGTGCGCAGCTACAAAGTTTGCCAGCACAATAAGACAACGACTAGAGCACCATTAGGTTTTCTTAGACCTCTCCCTATTCCGTCAGGACCCGGAGAGTCAGTTTCCATCGACTTTATGGATACTGGGGTCATAAGTAGGCATGGCAAAAGTCAATTTATTGTCATAGTAGATCGATTTCGTAAGTATGCAGTTTTCATACTCTTGCCTTTAGAGGCACGTACCGATTTAGTTATAGAAGAGTTTTTCAATTTCTGGGTAAGCGAGCACGGTCTACCGTTGTCCATAGTGAGTGATCGAGACACACGGTTTACCAGCCAAAATTGGCAGGATCTTATGAGAGTCTATGGGTCTAAGTTGTTGATGTCATCAGGATGACACCCGGAGACAAACGGCCAGACAAAACAGATGAATAAGATCTTGCATCAACTACTCAGAATGTATATTAGACCAGATCAGGCGAACTGGAATGAGATGCTCGCCAAGGTAGCAAGCGCCTATAACAACAATGTTCATCTAGCTACCTGTAGGACCCCTAACGAGCTGCATAAGTCCTTTAGACCAAGGAGACCATTTGAAGGACTGAACCGGGATCAGATATAGAGATTACCGTCCGACACCCGAGAGTTTGCATTGCAGCATGAGCAAGAAGTCGCTAAGGTGATTGAGAACCTGAGGAAGGCCCAACATCGTATGATTGAGCAAGCTAACAAGCATCGTCGACCTTCATAGTTTCAGGTAGGCGACTTACTTTGGGTCAAGTCTAAAGAGTTCGCACCCGAGGAGAACATCTCACAAAAGCTCTTACCTGCGTAGAGAGGACCATGGCCTGTCCTGGAAGTCAAAGGAGGAGATGACAGACCATCATACACTATGGAGATTAAAGCGCATCTCCACACGTACCCAGTCTTCCATGCGTCAAAGCTACTGTCGTGCATGACCCGTGACAAATTTCCTTCGCGAAGATCAATGATTCCACCAGATATGGATGGTGCCTATGATATAGATCGCATAGTGGAAGAGGACGTGTTCAGAACCGGAGAGCGAGGTCGTCCCCATAAACAATACAAAGTCAGGTTTGCATATCAGGAACCAGGGGACGACAAATGGTTGGAAACCGCTCCCCGCATAGTACATGTTTACGAGAGGGCAAGAAAGAGGGAAAGGTCCTATCTTGAGTTAGAGTGTTCTCGGAGGACCTCAAATTTAGGACGGCGGGAGTGAAACGGTTTCACCCAGTTGAAACGACATTTGCAGACACTGAGATTTGATCCCTAAACCTATGCCTGAACCTTGTACATTGACCCTGTGTGCTGAGTGAGATTCGATCCCTAGACCTATGTCTGTGCCCTGTACATCTACCCGGTGATTGTGTGAGATTCGAACCCTAGACCTGTCCTGTGTCATAGGTTAGGCCGTAGGTAGGGAAGTTGGACTTGATCCCTAGGTCTGTAGGTTAGTAGTTGAGTCTGTTACCGGTTGTCCTAGGAAGGTCTGTTCTAGAAGTCTCTACCTGAGTCTAGTGAGGGCCTAGAGCCAACCTGCAGGTCTGTAGGCTGTAGAAGGCTGTAGGTCCCTGTAGGCCAGTCCAGTCAGCAAGTATTAGGGAAGGGCTGACGTGGAGGAAGGTTCTGGTCACCCGGTATGCAAAAGGGTTTGGAACAAGCGTTCTGGGGCCCAGCAGCCCACGCGTTTGGGCCCCAGGCCCAGCCACCTCCGAAGAAGTATAAATAAAGAGGCAGCGTCCAGCCATTCATTCATTCGCCTGTGAGCCATGAGGAAGCGCTGCCTTGGTGACTTGTGCGTGGAGGTCTGCAGGTGCCCGGAGCTGAAGTGTGCAATGAGGAAGAGGACGGCCATATCTGGCCAGGAGGAAGACGACGGCGGCCATAGCTAGGAGGAGGATGGCATCGGGGGCCATAGCTAGGAGGAGGAAGACGACGACAGCCATAGCCGCCCAGTTGTTGTCATAGACAGAGTGTACAGAGTGTGTGTGTCTGTGTAGCGTGGACATTCAGGGTAGATCCTCGTACATGCATGCATGAGGGAGAGTGGAGCTGGTGCTGGAGACAGTGTTCGGCGGCCATAGCCGCACGTTGTACAGTTGACTTGAACTGAGTTTTAAGTGCAAGTTTGTTATGTAATGACCCGTCAAAACACAGACTGAGAACACTGCTGATTTCTGAAGTTCTGCCAATGGAATGGATGCCTTGCTGAGATTCCCGCATTCTGTTGTGTTTCTAAGTCTGTCTGTGTGTGCGTGCTKGTGACCTGCATGCCTGTCTGAGTGCTTGYTGGTATGAGTGTGTGTGGGACCCGCAAGGGTACTTGCTTGTTTGGTAGGCCCGTAGGGCCGGTACTTACCTGTGGCCGTGGCATCGAGGGTTGTAGCAGGGAAAACACTCAAGTGGCGAAGCTAGCGGCCCTGAGGCCCTTGGGGGAGCGGAAAAACACTCAAGTAGGCCGGTAGGCCGATACTGCACCCCACTGCAGTTGGCGTGAGGGAGTACCGGAGGCCGAGCAGAAAAAGACAAAGTTGGCATTTTTAGAGTCCAGTAGCGGTAGGGTAGGTCTAGGCCGGTACCAGTCCAACCAGTCTGAGTCTAGAGCCTGTACGGGTAATATCAGGGTCTGCAATGATGTTTCCCTCCGAAATGGAGGAGGTACCGGTTGCTTGGAGAGGCCGAGCGGCCTGGAAGTCACCGCCCACGAGGCAAGTAGGCCGCTATATCAAGAAGCAGGGCAAAGAACCCGGCCTCATTCTTCAGTGTGCGAGTTGGGCGTCACGCTGCTGGAGCGCTAGGTGGAGGAGCGCTGGGCTCGACAGCGCTGCTGGGAGTAAGAAGCCGGGAGCTTCCACCTTGGCTATGGTGGAGCTCAGCCAGTAGGAGGAGGAGGGAGAAGGGGACCAAGGAGGAGAGTGGTAGGGTACTTACCCGGCTATGGTAGACACCATCTTCATCTCCTTGCTAGGCGCTGCATCAGGAAGGCCCCAGTGGGGGTAGTGCCGCATCAAGGAAGCTCGGACAAAGTCAGGCATGGCGGTTGAGTGGGCAGCGACATAGCTGCTGGGTGATGACCTGCAAGAAGGGCAGCGGTGTAGCTGCTTGGGGTTGTCCTTTGTACCGGAGGTTGAAACCTCAGTAGTCCGCCATAGCCTCGGCCTGTATGAGGAGGAAGAAGAAGGGMTGCCATGGCTATGGTGGACCTCATCTTGTGCCTGCAGTAGAAGTGGGATTCGGACATTGATTGTGGTTCAGCTGTTCAACATTATTATTGTTTATTTATTGTTTGAATAAGAGAGGAGGAGATAAAGAGGAGGAGGTTGTTGAGCGAAGAAGAAGAGCTTTGTCTTTGGTCTATGCTGGAGTACATCATCTCTTTCTTCTTTCTAAATTCTTCTTCTTCTTCTTTCCCTCTCTCTCCTTAAGTTTTTTCATTTCTTTTGCAATTGGACGGCATTGGGCTCAAGTTCATTCATTTCTTTTCGCAATTGGACAACATTGTACTTTCTGATGATTGTGGACTTCAAAATTGGCCAGGATCGTAACATTGGTATCAGAGCGGATTCTACGTGTTGGCGAGAGTTGACTTCGCTGCCATAACCCTAACCCTAATGGTAAGGGCTACCATTCAGGGTTAGGGCTGGAAGTTAGGGTTAAGTGGGGCAGCGTGGTAAAGGGAAGCTGCCCCCACCTGGCAGGGCCGTGTAGGGTCGACACTAGACCCGRCCAGGTTGCTTGAGTGCATGTTTGTGGTGGCGAGACACAAGGTGGGACTTCGTGATGCAATTTGAGAGAGGCGACAGTGATGGGCACCTACAACTTGAATCTGGACTTCAAGGAAGACGAGGAGTGACTTTAGGGCTCCCCTCAAGTAGGCGAGCTTGAGGGTGGCAGCCATATCTGCACCTACGGATTGCAAGTTGCTGCTTTGATCTTCAACATTGACGGGGGATCCGGCTTTGTACTTTGGGGTAGATGTTGACCCTCCAAGATGATAGGACACTAGTGTAGAGGATGCTAATTGGGTCAGGAGGACTATGTGAGAGGGGGGTGAGTTCTTTTCATCTCAAGAGCCCGGCCACTCAGGTAAGTGTCGTGCCACCAGGGTGCCCATGCTTGTGTGCATGGAATTTACTGCCTGTTGGGGTTCTCTGGGTTCTTCTTCCATCCTCCATAGTCTTGATTGTGTGTGAGGTGTGTGAACTGCCTACTACCTGATGAGTGAATGAATGGAGTATCTTGTTTGCCATGTGATATCTCTCTATAGTGCTTTGTTTATTTCATTCTGAACGGCGGTAGTCTACAGGTTCTTTCTGGGGCAAAATTTCGTTTTTCAATTCAAGTAGGGACATAATAGGTCTCCGTGGAACTCTTGTTGGTTGGCACCCGGTTCAGACTCCACTGGGACCATTTGGGACTTAGTGGGACCGGGCCCAAACAAGAAGGGCCCCTCAAGCCAAATCTGTTGACGTCAGTTACCTTAATCTATCTGATTGGGATACGGACTTTATGCTTTTGGACCAGGACACTCGCTGCGGAGGGGATCTCCGCTGGGACGTTTTATCAGGCTTTACCGCACAATCTGCCGCCTGACTCACACCTTATACACCACTCAATTCTCTCTTGCATTTCGTTGTACATCTTGAATCTGATTTGCTGTGTTTTCACAGAGCTGAGGCTGGCTAGGCTTGGGAGGACCCCATACGTAGTCAGTCGAGACTGTGTGGCTGGATCAGATCTCTCTGATCTTTTCTTTTTTTGTTGTTCTGACTGCTCTCCAGTCCAAATGAATTGTCGCTCCGGCTAGGAGTTTTACCTTCTCTTCTGAATGACTTCAAGTTGTTTCTTTCATTTGGTTCATTAATGCCTGCGTCTACAGGGTCGCAAAGGAGAGAGAGAGAGAGAGAGAGAAGAGAGAAGCTATTGAGAGTTGCTCTTGAGGGAGTGAGGAGAGGGAAGAGGAGCGTTCGTCACAAAGCTGAGAGGAAGAACGGACACCTCTTGAGAGTCATACTGACACCCTCATCCTCCATCATGGCATCTGCAGCAGATTGGAAACTGCAGATGGACGCTGCCCCTGAGGCAGAAAAACCGCAGTATCAGTTCTTCTACGAGAAAGCCTTGAAGAGTGAGGAGGAAGAGAAAGAGAGAGAGAGAAGGGATAAGGTGCAGGCTCACGAGGCCGTCCTTAGCACCGTGTCCGCTCTGACTGATGAGGAGGTAGAAGAGAAAACGGTTACCCTCCTCAGAGCCTTAGCAGGGGTCCGGGTTGTTGAGGACCATACTGGCCAACTCGCGCAGGTGTTTAAGCAGCTTAAGGAGTTGCGCGAAGACATGGCCAAGATGGCGCAGCAGCACTGCGATCAGCTGCAACAGTTTGCTAGTTCGCTGCAGGCTCAAATCGTCTCTTCACTCACCTACCCTGCCTCCAATGCTGCGTGTCAGTCCAGTTTTGCCCCTCTGAATATGTCTACTTCTCCTTCTACTTCTTCTTCTTCTTTGAGTGTGGTTAATAGCCAAAGCGGATCTGCAGCAAGTCCAGACCCCGCTGCTGCTGCTGCTGCTGCTGCAGCGGCAAGTGGTGGTGCAGGGACTTCTGGAACTGTTGCAGCCCCGGGTCCAGACCCAGCAATGGCTGGGCCGGGCAGCAACTTTGCTTACCTCGACAGGAAGGCGGCACAGATTCCGTCCAAGTATGATGGAAAAGACGACGTCGAGTCATGGATCAGCACCATGCGGTCCTACTTTGATGTGTTGGGGACACCCCCAGTCACTCAGTCGTCGGTCCTTGGGACCAATGTGGAACCCRCYGTGAGAGGATTYCTAGAAATCCAAGTTGTACAAGCAGGCTATAAACGTATAGACCTGAACAAATGGCTGAAGGCTACGCCTGTAGCCACACTTGAGGATCTCTTGATTCAACAGTATGCCGATCCACATGCTGCAGCAAAAGCAAGACTTAAGCTTGATAAACTCAAGCACAGCAAGTGGACTGGCACCATGCAAAGTCTGTAGCAGTATGTCAGTAAGCTCTTTGCTACTCCCAATTTGGAAATGACTGCACAGTCTTGCTTGGATGTGATAAAAGCAACGGTCCCCTCTGCTAAAATTCATCGCCTGGGCCTCAAACTCGCGGAATATACAGATTGGCTTTCCCTCATGCGGGATCTAGTCAAGCTGGAGGCACAAGACCTCCCGGGTGGATCGAGTGGCAAAAGAGCCCTTGGCCGCAAACGGTTTTCTGGCAGCAACCGTTTAGCAACACACGATCTGCTAGAGGATGACGAGGAGATCCTCGCAGACAACCCTTCTCTTGATGACGATCAAGAGCAAGGCTGTGAGGCATCATGCTCTGCGTCAGCCCACGAGTCTGAGTTGGTGAATGATGAGGAATCCATGAATGCCTTTAAGAAGACTGCCTTTAAAAGCAAGGGACCAAGGACCACAATGAAGAACAACACTAACACTATCCTTCTTCCCAAGGGAGCAAATATTCCACCAAAACCGGAAGATCCTGCCACAAAACCATGGGTAGATCTCCGGATTAGTGAAAGCGAGTGGAAGGTCAGGGTGAAGAGAGGAGTTTGCCTGCATTGCACCAAAACGGGACATTCAGTCCAACACTTTTTCAGATTGCAGCAGGGAAACCAGCAACGGGGGTAGAGGCATCATCAGCACACTCTGCGGATGGAGAGGCTGAACATGTAAGTACAAATTCTTCTTTAGATTCTGATCCCACTCAGCAAACCTCTCCTGAAACCCCATCTGATGCTGATTCCAAGGCTGAAAAGTTACACATCCTATACAAGGAGCCTTGGGTAGAGTCGGAAGAGATTGACTTTCATGCTCTGTTGACGCGCTGGGCTCACATGAAGCAAGAACGCGCGCAAGGGAGGACGAAGTTGATCTTCTTCAAACTCTACATTAATGGTCGTTACATCCGTGCGTTGGCTGATTGTGGTGCAACCGCCAAATACTTCTCACCGCACGACATTCGTAAGGCACGCTTGGGGATGAAACAAGTGACTTTGCAGAATCCTTGTCGGACCCAAGTAGGCAACCAAGAGGTTGTCACTTCCACGCATGTAGTCAAAGGTGTGCGCACTACCTTTGACGTTGATCGCACAATCACGCATGAATTGAATTTCTATGTTCTTGATCAGTGCCCCTTCGACGCGGTTATTGGCTTGGGCTGGTTGCAGGCCCAATGTGAAAGAACCACGTGGAAGGACTCACAATTCATGGTCAAAGATGCCATGGGGATCGAGCGTCCCGTCCTCTTGGATGAGCCGCGCGAGTCCCAAGTGACCTTTCTCAATGCAATGCAATTCTGCAAAAAGTGGCGCAGGCGCAAAACTGATGAGCAAATGTATATAGCCTTTGTTAGACCTGCTCATGTGCCTTCTATTTTCGTTGTACATAGTGATTCTACTTTGCATGCTGTGTCCACCTCGGATGCAACTGCATCTACCTCTAGTAAGTCCATCTCTAGTCCAAATGACTCTACTTCTAATCCTATTGTTTTGGCTGCACCAATACAAACTGACATGCTTGCTCCTGAGAGTGATGACCCCCCTCCGAAAATCCCACCGGACATTCGCAACCTTCTCAACCGATTTCCTGACGTCTTGGCCGAACCGCATGGAGTCCCCGTGCGTCCGGTCCGACACAGGATCGAGTTGATTGAAGGTAGCACTCCTCCAAAGGGTTGTGTCTATCGAATGGGCTTAGGCGAATTGGAGGAGTTGCGAAGGCAGATTGATGAAATGATTGGGAAGGGATGGATCAAGCCGAGTGAGTCGGAGTTTGGTGCACCGGTGCTGTTTGTCCCTAAGAAAGGAGGTAAGTTGCGGATGTGTATTGACTACCGCGGGTTGAATCGGATCACGAGAAAGAATGCATATCCTTTGCCACGTTTCGATGATTTGCTTGATGTTGCAGGTGGGTGCAAAGTGTTCAGCAAGATCGATCTCAAGTCTGGCTACCACCAGATCGAAGTCGATCCTGCGGACCAGCACAAAACCACATTCAAAACTCGCGATGGGCTGTACGAGTTTACCGTCATGCCCTTCGGTCTCACGAATGCGCCAGCCACCTTTCAAAGTCTCATGGACAAAGTGTTCCGCCACAAGATTAACCGGTTTGTTGTTGTTTATCTGGATGACATACTAATCTTCAGCAAATTGATGGAAGAGCACGTGAGACACCTTGAGGAGGTGATGCAGATCCTCAAGGACGCGCAGCTCCATCTCAACTTGGAGAAATTTGAGTTTGGGAGGGACAACGTCATCTACCTTGGACATCAGTTGTCTGCTGCAGGCCTAGAGCCCGAGGCAACCAAGGTTGAGGTCATCCAAAAGTGGCCCCAACCTGCGAATGTCCGCGAGTTGCGTTCTTTTCTTGGTCTTGCGTCGTACTACCGTAAGTTTGTGCCTAAATTTTCTATCATTGCCCGTCCATTTTCTAGACTAACCAGCAAGAATGTGTCCTACACATGGAATGAGGAGTGCACGACAACCTTCGAAGCACTAAAGGAGGCTTTGGTGAGTCATCCGGTGCTCCGCGTTGCAGATCCCAAGCTTACATTCGTAGTAACTACGGATGCAAGTTTGTATGGGATTGGTGCAGTGTTGCAGCAAGATGATGGTGATGGTTTTCGTCCGCTGGAATACTACAGCAAACGCATGCCCAGCCACAAGGTAGCTGCCTCCACTTACATGAGAGAGCTTTATGCCTTGAGAGAGGCACTAGACCATTGGAAACACTACCTCTTGGATCGCCATTTCAAAGTGTTATCGGATCATGAGACTTTGAAGTGGATTCAAGCACAGGTAAACCCATCAACTACGTTGACCCGCTGGCTGCATGAGATTGATGTGTATGATTTCGAACTCAAACACAAGAAGGGTTGCTATAATCGTGTTGCGGATGCTTTGTCTCGCCACCCTGAGTACATGACTTGCCTTGTGGGTTCCTACGACCTTCGTAAGGATCTGAAAGAGTAACTCATTGAGCACACTGCCAAGGATCCGGAACTCAGTCCCATCCTTGAGTAGATTCGGGCTGACCCTAGTAGTCAGCCTGATTTCCATGAATGTAAGGGCCTTCTCTTCCGACGCTACGGTAAGCATGACCGGTTGTGTGTGCCCAACCATGAGCCAATCATCACTCACTTCTTGGATTTGGCTCATGGTCGGAGTGGACATTTCGGTGTTGAGAAGACATACGGGAATCTGTTGGAAAAGTTTGTGTGGCCTGGTATGAAAAGAATGACGCAAAGGTTTGTGGCTGAGTGTGAAGTTTGTCAACGCATTAAACCGTCTCGGCAGAAGCCTTATGGGCTGTTGCACCCTCTTCCTATCCCTGACGGTTCGGGGGAGTCTGTTTCTATTGACTTCACAGACATGGGGAAGAAGAGCAGAAACAGTTATTCCCAAGTTATAGTGATTGTCGATCGTTTTTCGAAGTTTTTGAATCTGATCCCACTACCACCTCACGCCCCAACTGACCTTGTGATCAAAGAGTTTCACAAAGGATACATTCTGCAGTGTGGGCCCCCGAAATCTCTTGTGAGTGACCGGGACACTAGGTTTATAAGTGCAGAACGGAAGGACTTCACCTCCCAGGTCTATGACATGAAACTCAAGATGACATCTGGTCGACATCCCGAAGCCAATGGACTGGCCGAGGAGATCAACCAGACGGTGATCCAACTTCTCCGAGCCTTAATTGTGCCTGATCAGAATTCTTGGGATGAGGAATCGTCGATCGTGCAAGGGTTGTACAACAACTCCATCCACTCCTCCACCGGTATGACGGCTAACCGGTTGCATCTTGGATGGAAAATTCGCAATCCTCTATCCTACCTGTTCCCTGAACAGCCTCCTGGTCTGACACCTGGCCAGCCAGGCTACAGCGCTAAGTACGATCGGTTGCTCAAGGTTGTTATCGCGGCTATGGAAAGGCGACGCAGTGCCATGATCAAACACGCAAACAAGAAGCGCCAGCCTGCGCCTTTCACAGTGGGGAGTTATGTCTGGGTCAAGATGTCTGAGTTTTCCGAAGAGGTGGGTGTTTCAAGAAAACTTCTCCCTCAGTACTACGGTCCATGGAAGGTCTTGAACCAGGTACAGAGTGATTCTTTCGGTCCTTCTTACACGAGTGATGTACCTGCGCACCTGCGCACATACCCAGTCTTCCACGCATCAAAGTTGTTTCCGTATGAATCACCTGAAACTTTCAAGTATCGAGAATCAATGATTCCCCGCGCAATCAATGGCGGTCATGAGGTTGATAGGATTGTCGAATACAGTGGGAAAGGAAGAAACAGACAGTACAAAGTCCATTTTTTGTACCATCCGTTGGACGATTTCTACTAGATTGCTAAGAAAGACTTACTACAGAGTGCACCGCGTGTTGTGAACGCCTACGAACGATTGATAAGTTCTGAACAGCAACCAAAATTCACTGCTACCCTGACTCCTACGGAATTCACCCGATCTCTCTTCGCTAACTACGCCTACGATGCATTGTGAGTTACTCGCTCGAAGGGACCTCGCTCTTGAGGGGGGGTTAGTGTAATGACCCGTCAAAACACGGACTGAGAACACTGCTGATTTCTGAAGTTCTGCCGATGGAATGGATGCCTTGCTGAGATTCCCGCATTCTGCTGTGTTTCTAAGTCTGTCTGTGTGTGCGTGCTTGTGACCTGCATGCCTGTCTGAGTGCTTGCTGGTATGATTGTGTGTGGGACCCGCAAGGGTACTTGCTTGTTTGGTAGGCCCGTAGGGCCGGTACTTACCTGTGGCCGTGGCATTGAGGGTTGTAGCAGGGAAAACACTCAAGTGGCGAAGCTAGCAGCCCTGAGGCCCTTGGGGTAGCGGAAAAACACTCAAGTAGGCCGGTAGGCCGATGCTGCACCCCACTGCAGTTGGCGTGAGGGCGTACCGGAGGCCGAGCAGAAAAAGACAAAGTTGGCATTTTTAGAGTCCAGTAGCGGTAGGGTAGGTCTAGGCCGGTACCAGTCCAACCAGTCTGAGTCTAGAGCCTGTACGGGTAATATCAGGGTCTGCAATGATGTTTCCCTCCGAAACAGAGGAGGTACCGGTTGCTTGGAGAGGCCGAGCGGCCTGGAAGTCACCGCCCAGGAGGCAAGTAGGCCGAGCCCGGCCTCATTCTTCAGTGTGCGAGTTGGGCGTCACGCTGCTGGAGCGCTAGGTGGAGGAGCGCTGGGCTCGACAGCGCTGCTGGGAGTAAGAAGCCGGGAGCTTCCACCTTGGCTATGGTGGAGCTCAGCCAGTAGGAGGAGGAGGGAGAAGGGGACCAAGGAGGAGAGTGGTAGGGTACTTACCCGGCTATGGTAGACACCATCTTCATCTCCTTGCTAGGCGCTGCATCAGGAAGGCCCCAGTGGGGGTAGTGCCGCATCAAGGAAGCTCGGACAAAGTCAGGCATGGCGGTTGAGTGGGCAGCGACATAGCTGCTGGGTGATGACCTGCAAGAAGGGCAGCGGTGTAGCTGCTTGGGGTTGTCCTTTGTACCGGAGGTTGAAACCTCAGTAGTCCGCCATAGCCTCGGCCTGTATGAGGAGGAAGAAGAAGGGMTGCCATGGCTATGGTGGACCTCATCTTGTGCCTGCAGTAGAAGTGGGATTCGGACATTGATTGTGGTTCAGCTGTTCAACATTATTATTGTTTATTTATTGTTTGAATAAGAGAGGAGGAGATAAAGAGGAGGAGGTTGTTGAGCGAAGAAGAAGAGCTTTGTCCTTGGTCTATGCTGGAGTACATCATCTCTTTCTTCTTTCTAAATTCTTCTTCTTCTTCTTTCCCTCTCTCTCCTCAAGTTCTTTCATTTCTTTTGCAATTGGATGGCATTGGGCTCAAGTGCATTCATTTCTTTTCGCAATTGGACAACATTGTACTTTCTGATGATTGTGGACTTCAAAATTGGCCAGGATCGTAACAGTTATTGATTCTGAGTTGAAAGAGTTTGGTTTTGCCATCAGTTCGCGTGTATGCATGGTGAAAGCAAGTTTGGAGTGCGGTCTGATTTCACACTCATCCATAGCAGGCATCAAAGAAAATTGTCTGACAACAACAGAATATGCAACATTGAAATCAAAGCAGACTGAATATGACTGTACTGAGAACAGACTGGACTCAGAACAGACAAAATATGCACACACCTGCCTGAAATCAAAAGCCAAGCAAACCGGTCAGAGAACAAACCAAAAGACACACACACCTTTACTCAGGACAGACAAAATACTCAGACGCCTGCCTGAAACGAAAAGCAAAGCCCTCTCCGCCATGTCGGGCCCTTAGGCATCAGGCATGCTGCACATTGTTTTCCACAAGGAACACAACCTTTTGACTACTGGTCTTTCTGATTCCTGCAGGAGGGAAGGCTATATGGGTGGAAGAGCCAATCATCAGTGGGTTGCATTGGTTGCTAACTGCATCCAAATCGTTGGCATATCATTACCAATGCAATGACTTGCTGATTTCTGCCGCCGAGATTGACAGCGAGGCTGTACACTAACCCGGTAGGTTAGATTCGTAATTTTGTTTGGCTGAGGGCTAACCGAGAGACCTGCCTGTAAGGAAATTCGTGAGGGACAGATCTGCAAATCTGGGAAAATACGGGCCCAGTACTAACCCGAATTCCTACAGCTACCCGAACTGCCTATAGCAGGCCCGGGCTACCCCTAGGACAGAGGCCCTAAGCGGCCTATACTGTTAGACGGTCCTATAGCCTATAGCCGGGTTCGGTAGAGGCCGAGAGGCTGAAACAGCAACGGTACCGGTCGGTCAGTCAGTCTGGTCTAGGTCTAGAGAGTCTATAGATAGGTTAGGTCCATCGGTTCAGGACTTTTGGCAGTTCATTTCTCGCGAGCAGCGTTGGAGAAGCCAAGCAAGTTGGGGGCGGTACCTGTCTACAGGCGGCATCATGAGACGCGCCGTGACAGCAGCCATAGCCGGCCCTCTCTGAGTCTGCCATAGCTGGGGCATCCTCAGTGCACCTACCCCTGGGGGTATCTGCGTATGGTCGGGCTGTATCGAGGCTCTACAGTGGTGGTTCGTGGGTGGTGGCAGCCATAGCTGCCTGTTCCTTCATCAGAGTTGTCCATCGGCACTGAAGACTTCATCGCAGGACCTGTTCTTCATCAGGGTGGTTGGCGCTGGCCTCTGGGAGGCTGTTCCGATGCAGCGCTACTAACTGGGTGTAGGATAGAGAGTGGGGTGTGAGTTCTGAGGGTGGC